AGATTAGCACAGGAAAGATGAAGATGGCAGACAAAAGAAGGGAGCAGGAGACACAGGGAGGAGTGCAAGAGTTGAAGGAAATCAAGGTCAATACTGTGAACTGATGGTACATGTAAGGGCTTGCAATCATGGTAATTAATGAAGCAAAATATATGATTTGCTGAATGTGAAATGATACAGTGTTCTGTAAACCTTCATTCGATTCACAATGAAGTTTACTTTTAAAAAAATGTTTTTTACCCTCATGATTTTTAAAGACTCTGTCATGTGTAAGGGATGATTGCTAGGCATTTCCATTTTTATTTCTGTAAATGATTAAAGGCTCATGCAGCCTGTTCTAGATCAAATCCACTGCTTTGTTAATGGTACAAAATAGGAAAGTGGGGGAGGGGTGCAGCACACGAATATGGTTTTGGATTCTTTTAATCCAATGTGCCAAAATATATAGATTTGTTGTTGTTGCTGTTGAGTTGATTCTGACCCATGGTGGTTGGTGAGCTTGAACCACCGACCTTGCAGTACAAACCGACCTTTCAGTATAGCTCATTAACTGACAGTGCCACACCAGGACTCCACAAGAAACCTTAATAGAATTGTCTGAGATTTATTGTAGTTAGTTGCATTGATATGGTTTCAATTTATGTATAACAATATTATTAACAGAGGAGCCCTGGCGATGAAATATGTTAGGTGTTGAACTGTTAGCTATCTGCAAGGTCAGTGGTTCGAAAACACCAGCCGCTCCATGGGAGACAGATTAGGCCGTTTACCTCCATAAAGATTTGCAGCATCAGAAACCCTATGGAGTAGGTATACTTACTTTATTTTATTGGGTTGCTATGAATCAGAATCGATTTTGACAGCAGTGGATTCAGTTGGGGTTTTACATAGGAAGCATTGCCCATTCCTGAGTGATCTTCATGACTGTTGGTATGTTTGAGTCTGTTTTAGTGTATGCTAGAACTTTTGTTAAATCCGTTCATTCCACATAGGTCCCAATGCTTCCTTATAGTCCAGGATTACAGTCAAAAATTAGAGGACCCCCATTTGCTCTTCTCCACTGAACCACACCAGAACATCAATCCCAAATCTGTACCTTGGTCAATAATTATTTGTGTGAATTAACTGGATGCTAAACAAACTGTTTCACTGAAATATTAGAGGAAGCAATCTTCTATGAATACTTTAGCTATGATATGATTTATTTTCCATGGACACTAAAGAGCACCCAAGTATAAATGAATCTTTCTCTCCAAAATTATCTTGGATTTCAGACTTGATAGAGAAAAGCAGCCCTTCACATCTAGGATCTAGTTTGAAACTTGGTATTTCTAAGAGCTGGCATGGCACTCACAGCTTTGGGTGTTTGGGGGTTCTACTGTTGAACATAACAACCAATTTCACAAAACATCAACATCAGGCACAGCCACTTTGTGATCACAGTAGACAAAAGACAAAAACAAGACCACTTCCTTGTCATGTATGATCAAAAACAAAATGGGAATCTTGTCCAGGCCACAAAATATCAATACTCTACTCCTCTCATACTAAAGGAAAGCCTGAAGCTTCTTTATCAACTACAGTTATAGCTTCATTCTAGTCTGCCTTCCCTATGCATAATGTGTATTGAGATATCCAATCATAGAATTGTGTCACTTTTTTTATGGCACTCAAACCAGAGACATTCCTTGGATCTTCCCCAAAATCATCCGATCAAAGCTCAAATCCTGAGTCCTTTCTAAGGTACCCCATGTCCAAGATGTGTATTATAGACTCTTCTGTAAGGACTCTTTGAAACTATTCGACATGTTTGCTACTGGAGCCAGAGCAAGCATTCTTAAGAGAAACATAAATAATTTATATGTTCAAGAAACTCACTAAAATTCTGATAAAAATAAACTTGTTGAACTTATTTTCTCACATTGCAGGTCATGTGACAAAGAACCCAGAACCATTTTTTGCCTCTTAGAGGAACCATTTGGGTGGGTGTGGAGTAAATGGTATAGAGTAAACAAACTGGGCGTGACCCCTCCATTACATATTTATTACAGGTAGAAACTATGTTTTCAAGGAATATCGCTCTGCATCACAAATCTACATCCAGGTCAGAGTGGGCCTGGTAGTACATACTCCTAGATGCTTGTATAGAATTCTATCATAGATTCAATATGAATCTTTAGGAGAAAAACAGACAACTGAATTTAAGTCGTGTAGTATTGACTTCGCTCCAAATTCTTACTTTCTCTGATTTTAATGCTTATTGGGGATGTTAATCTCTTGACTATTATGTCCTAATCAAAGCACAATCAATGGACTAATTTCAAAATATGAAAATCTATGTTGTCTGCTGTGCAAAGTGATGGGAGGCAGCAATCTAAAGCCTTGGAGTACATTTATGTAACTCTCAAAATTTGTATGAGAAAAGAAGTTTCCAATTATACCATATAAGGTTTGACATTTTGCAAAATAACTACTAACCTTTCTAGAGTACTAATACTATATTCTGTCATCTGTGTCTCTCAAAAATATAAAGAGACATATGACTTTCTTCCACAGAATTTATTCCAATAAGTAACTTCTACTGTCAACTACATAGCAAACATAGTTCAAATAATTTTATACTCACTACTTCTTGTCTTTAGAAAATATCAAAATGTATATACAACTATTCACTTTTTACAAATGAAGACCTGGATCAGGAAAGTTAAATGATATGCCCCAGAGACAAAACATTAAAAGATAGAATTAAGATTCAAACCCACATATAGCTAGCTCGACAAGATATGGGGTTGTATGTTTCTCTGTGTGTGTATATGTGTGTATCCCCCATATTATATCATGGGTTTTTTTTTTTTCCTTTTTCTCGCTGGTAAAATGTAACTTTTGACTTTTAGCACTCAGTCTTTACTGTGTTTTAACAGCTTGTTTTATATATACCTCTGAATATATGTACAAACACAGAGAGGCACACATTCATCATTTGCTACTAATTGCTAACATTTTGGTACAAATTTAGTAAGGACTTAATCCTGAAACAAATATTTGAAGGAAAAAAAAAACAGAGCTTAAAAATATTATAGTTATTATACATGATAATTCTGTCTTCTCTACCCCATCAAATATTTTAGAGTGGCTTTGGTAATGTGAATTTTAGACTATCACTCAGAGTTCAAATTTTTCCTAAGAAACATGCCCCTGCCCTTTTGTAGTCCTGGGTATATTGTTTCTAGTGCAGTACAGAGACTTCAGACAGAAATAAAGGAAATTTTGATTATGTGACTTAAAGCAAACATTTTCCTTCCTTTTTTCTCTTCTGCTCTCCTCTCTCTCTTTCTCTTCACCTTCTTTCTTTTTCTTTAATGTTGCTCAATTAACTAACACTCTATAAAAATGCCCTCAAGGGTTGAGGGATCAAGAATGCCCAGGTACAAAATGACATTCTATCAATGCCCCTGCCTGCCCTGTATTATCTTTTGCCTTTGTTAAATTGCACCACTACCTTCATGTTATTATTAATTATTTGTCATATGTGGGCATGCTTATTTTTATCTAATTACATGACACTATACAAGTACACTACTCCCTTGTTTGCTGATATAATGTTTGAATTTCAGAGCTTTAAGATTATTTTATATTATATAGATTATGAAACCTTTAGAACACTAGGTATAAAATCTTGAGACACAATACAATTTCAACATTATTAAAATGACAAAAACATTCAGTTGCTTAGGATTTTTTTTTTTTTCCAAATCTATCTGTTCAAAATCCCAAACCAGCTAACATTGGAAGCCACGTACATTAGAATCCTATTTTGTATCCCAGCCCTATCATAGCTGCCCCCCCCCCACCTCTCTCCAAAATTAAATGGACTATAGAACTGCTCATTTTTTAACTATCTTTTTTAGAGGTGGGGTTCGGGGAGCTTTGAGGGAAAGAGTTCACCAGAAAAGAGTCAGGCCATAAAGAAAGAAGAGCTGGCATTGGGTGGGGCTGAATAGTTTGCATCTTTCCCACTGTTTCCCACTGGTATCTGATTTTCCTTGAAAATCAGAGTGTGGGAATGTATATATGCCAGGGTAGCAAATTCTACATACTGTTTTGTGTGACCAATACCACACCCCCACCCCATAATATCTTTCGTTAGCTGTTTATCTTGATCATTGAAAGAGTTCTCATGCTAATGTCTGGGGAAACTGCAAAGGAGCTAAGCTAACCAAAGAAATAGCATGCTGGGATCATATTTCTCCTGTCACAACAGTGTTTTCTCCTTATGAAGACACCTAGCACAGAACTAGAACACGTATGCTGTCTAGCCATCTCAAGACCATCACAGAGCAAACAAATCTGCCCCAAAATCAGCCTTTTGCTTCACGATCTACCTTGCTCAACACTTCCCCTTTTGAATTCACTCATTCTGAAAATGAAATGAATCTTTCTGTACTCAGTACACAGGAGAAGCATCCCTCAGTAGCCACAATCCTCAAAAATCCACATGCTGAACACCCCTTATCTCTGTTCACTTCAAGAAGCTCAAGTGAATGTATCCATTATGAATTGTGGTTCCCTGAATATTCTTTTAAAAAAAGCAGCAGCTGGTACCTGCCACTTTAAAAAGCAATGCTTTGCCCTACTATAGAGGCTATAGTAACACAATGCTCCACGGTTTCTACAGTTGCACTGATATTACCTACTCACACATATATCTTTATATACAGATATTCCTAATTCCAGCAGTTTACCTTCTTGGGTCTTTTTTTCCGCTGGCTACTGCCATTGAACTTCTCTCCACTGTCGCTTTTCTGAGCTGCATCTTCGTTCATCATTTTGAACAGTTTGGAAACAGGAAAATAGCTCTGCCATTAAACCGTGCCGTCTGTACAGACCACTAGCGAGTGTGCACTTGCTGGAGGGAAGCAGGAGGAGGAGATGGGGTGGGGAAGGGGCACGCACAGGGAGGGTGAGGATGGTGACGTTGCCATGGCAGCAGCTGCCACAACTGTTTATCTGACTGCATTGTTAAATCTGATTCAGCCAATTACCATCAGAGACCCGTTACAATGAAGAAAGCCTTGGGAAAAAAAAAAAAAAAAGAATACCAGGGACTAGAATGATCTGGGGACTCGGCTGGTTGGTGTCTGACACACCCTCAGTTTGTTCAGTTCTAAACCCACAATAATAATAATAATAATTTAAAAAAACCTGCACGTCATTTTCTTCCTACAGGTACTTCAATGTAGAACAGACACAATGCATAAAGAGAAAACTGTAATATTCTTGAATGGGTCTTTGAATCTGAAGAGATACATTTCAGCCAGTGAAGAGGATACTTAGGGGAAAGCATCAGTGATTAATTTTTCAGAGTGAATATAAGACAGTTATATATTTTTTAAAGATGTTATTCGCTTGATTTCAAATGATCATCTTGTAAAATTGAGCTCAAGGATAACTTCAGCCACAAAGCCTTACCAGCAGCATGCCCAGCATCCAGGTAAGTGATCCCCCTCCCTTCTCTGTACCTCTTCTTTCCATGTATGCTACTGACAGACTGTCTGTAACACTATTGTACAACGGCACTGTTTATTCAATTGTCTTTTCTTGACAGGTCATGACCTTCTTAAAGTCAGGGTTTGTGGATCTGTCTATGTGAGTGTGTGTGTGTGCTAGGTGTGTTTGGTGGGAAAAGATTATTGAATTTCCCAGAACCAAGCAAAACAAAGTGTTGGATGGCTAACCAAAAGGCCAACAGTTCACACCCACTAATCACCCTCTGGAAGAAAGATGAAGTCGTCTGCTTCTGTAATGCCTTGGAAACCCTATAGAGCAGTTCTCCTCTGTCCTATTGCATTGCTGAGTCAGATTCGACTCAACAGCAGTAGATAATAGAAGGTTTATTGAATATATAAGTCAGATTGTAAGGGTGATACCATCATAAGAAAATAAAAAAAGTTAAAACATTTTATAATCAGTCTTAGAAATCTTCTTATACTACGTCAGATACAATGGGTACTATAATTATGAGAAAATCATGGAGTTAAAACATTTTATAATCAATCTTAGAAATCTTCATATCCTTATTCATATGATGACTGATGAAACACAGAATTTGCTTTCAAGGAGTTTACAACAGAATTCTTCCTCATAAGAAAACAGGACTTTTTTTTTTAACAAGAAGCCCAATCTCATCTACTGGATTAAGGTGGCCATATTTAAGCACATTAAGTTGTGGCTACACCTGTCACTCAATATGTTTAGGAAAATACACATATGCACATGCAAAGCACTCATCTCTATTCCTATAAAATGAACTCAGAGTATTATACATGAAATAGCTAAATGTAAAAATAAAGACAGGATTAAATCAGAGAGATAATATATGTAAATATACTTTTAAAAGTAAAAGTATCTATGCAAACTTGTTATCAAGAGGTACTGGTCCTTGGAAAAAGGATTATGCTTGGTAAAATAGAGGGTCATCAAAAAGAGCAAGACCTCCAATGGGATGAACTGACACAGTGGCTCCAATAATGGTCTCATACATGATAACAATTGTAAGGAAACCCTGCATACAGGGTCAGGCCGTGGCTCATTCTCTTGTGGGGTTGCTATGAGTTAGAGCCAACTGGACAGAACCTCGCAACAACACACAACATGCAAAATTGTTACTGTTATTGTTAACCCTATCACTATTATAAATATAGGTAGTTTTCCACTCAGAAAAGTCTACTTTAAAATGCTTCTTATAAGCAAATGTCTGGCAATGTTGGGAACTTTTCTAGCAGACACAAGATATGATGCTATAAAAAGGGGAACTGTATCTACAAGGCAGATGTGTTACTAAGGCACTTTGTTATCAATTGAAGTCAGAAAGTGTAAGTGTTTTTCAGTAGCCCAATTAGACAGCTAATCATTGTAAATTACAAATAACTGTGGTTGTGGTGGTGGTGTTAAGTGTCATTGAGTCAGTTCCAACTCATAGAGACCCTGCATAGGGTTTTCAAGGAGCAGCTGGTGAGTTTGAACCGCACTTAACAACATCAACAGAAGTGGTGTGGAGTCCTGGTGTGGTGCTATAGGATAAGCACTGGACCACAAGGTTGGCAGTTCAAACCTAGTAAGCCTCTCTTAGGAACCTTACACAGGACCGATACAAGTTGGAAGTGACTCAACAGCACTTAACAACAACAGTGGTAGTTTTATGGAATCCCTGGGCTTTGCAAACAGTTAATGTGCTTGGCTACTAACCTAAGGATGGAGCTTGATGGCTACCCAGAGGTACCTCAGTTAAAAAAACACGGTGACCTACTTCCAAAATATCAGCCATTGAAAACCCTACGGAGCACAGTTCTACTCAGATACACATGAGGTCATCATGAGTCAGAGTTGATTCATGACAACTGGTTACTAGTAGGGCTTTACCCCGCACACAAAGGGATATCAACTGACTTTATGATGTTTTATGTACTTGGGCAGTCATCTTTCTCTTTTTGATGCTTTCAATTTCTCGGAGCCTTTCTGCTGGCAGCTCTTCACTTTCTATCCTCATGATGCAGGTTTTAGTGGTCCTGGTCTTGAGTGAACTATAAACTGCTTAAGAGTAGGATCAGTGTGTGTCTATTTTTGCATCAGGAGTCCTAGTGATGTAGTGGGTTAAACACTGGGCTGTTAACCATAAGTCATTGGTTCAAATCCACAAACCACTCTTTGGAAGAAAGATGTGGCTTTCTACTCCTATAAAGATTTGTTGTTGTTGTTCTTGCTAAGTACCGTAGAGTTGGTTCTGACTCATAGCGATCCTGTACAGGGTTTCTAAGGCTGTAAATCTTTACAGGAGCAGAAAGCCTCATCTTTCTCCCACGGAACAGCTGGTAGTTTCAAACTGCTGACCTTGAGGTTAGCAGCTCGATTCGTAACCACTATGCTACCAGAGCTCCTTACAGCTTCAGAAATCTTATGGAGCAGTTCTCTCTGCCCTAGAGAGTCTGTATGAATATAAATCAATCAAATTCTAAAGGGTAAAGTTTACATTTCCTAGATTTTCTCTTATTATATATACTTTGTGATATCTGAAAAAAAACAAAGCACCCATCAACTAATGAGTTGATTACAACTCATGGCCCTTCATCTGTTAAAAAGAAGAACCACTCTATAAGGTTTTGTTTGCTGTAATCTTTATGGAAGATTACAGGACTTTAATCTTTTTTAGATCACCAGGACTTTCTTCTGCAGTGCCCCTGGGTGGGTTCAGATCACTAACTTTTAGATTGGTAATTGATTTCAAAGTGGTTGTGCCATATGATGTGTAGGAGTAATGCATTACTTCAAATAAGACCTTTAAAGATGTTTGAGAAACTATAGCTACTGTAGCTAGCATTAGTGATCATATCTTACATTTGTAAAGAACTTTATAATTTATAAATCCCTTTTAGGCTTCTTTAATTGGAGTCCTGGTATGGTGCTGTGGGTTGATGTGCCAAAGCCATTTGAACTGCAAGGTCGGTGGTTCAAGCTCACCAGCTGCTCCTTGGAAACCCTATACAGGGTCACTATGGATTGGCATTGACTCAACGGCACTTAACAATGACAGTGAAATTCCAGAAGGGCAGAGATCTTTGTTTGTTCTGCTCACTAATATATCCCAGGCACCTAGAGCAATGCTGACACATGGTAGATACTTGGTAAATATTAAATGACTTCACTGGATTCTCACAACTGTACTGGAAGAAGGTTGTTATTAGTCATAATACAGGCAAAACACCAAAGTGAAAAATGATTTTGGTGACCTGCCCAAAGTCACAAAGTGAATGAAGTGCAGTATGAAAGTTCTTCTGAAACTAAGTCACTTGTCCTTTTATTAAGTCATGTCTTCACTGAAATGTGGTCACTTAATAAATTGCTGTCAAATGGGCAGAAACTAAGATGCAAAATGCCAAGAGCACCAACCTCAGCCAAGTGATAGTGATTTAAATAAAAAAAGGAAGAAGTCTTTATTGGTCTTATGTTAAGCATATTTTATAGACTTGGAGTTTTAGAAGAGAGGATAATAATTTTAAAATGTCTACTCTCTTTTATTAAACCATTAGAGTTAATACAATGTTACAGAATTTGACACATGCTACTTTTATTCTTTATTTATTTATTTTGACCACAAGTCCATGGCTTTAATGAACAGAAATTTACTCTCTCCAAGCGTAGGAGACTAGAAGTCTGGATCCAGAGTTCTTATCTCTTTTCAGCATCTGTAGACCCAGCATTCCTTGAAGATCTCCAGGTGTCTTGGCATCCATCTATCCCTGGACCTAGGAGCTTCACAGGACAGGGACCCCAGGCCCACAGGATGTAGTCCACTCCTTGAGTAGGCTAAAGTTTCCTGAACTATCAACAGCTATGACTTAAATCCATTGCTGTCAAGTAGATTCTGACTTGTGTGTGTGTGTGGGGGGGGGGGCTGGGGGTGGATAGAAAGTAATTATGTCTCACAAATAACACTTCTCTGAGACATAACTGAGCCTGACCCTGTAAGTGTGGTGCCATGGCATAAGCACTGGATCGCAAGGTCGGTTCGAACCACAAGGTTGGCAATTCAAACTCACCAGTGGCTCCTTGGAAACCCCATACAGTGTCACTGTGAGTCGGAACCTACTCAACAGCACTTAACAATAACAACAGCAAGGATAGAAGAGAACTGACTCATAGTTTCCCAAGGTTGTAAATCCTTACAGAAGCAGGCTGTCACATCTTTCTTCCTCAGAGTAACTGTTAGGTTCGAACTGCTGACCTTTCAGTTAGCAGCTGAGCACTTGACCACTGTGCTGCCAAAGCTCAG